ATATTCATCTGTCCCATACATGAATCAAAAATTCCTTTCAAACTCGGGATTTTTCTGTTTATTGTCAAATTCCGCCCTTCATCTTGTAAATTGGTGTTTGGCTCCTCGGAATCTGGAAGGAGTCTGGACCGATAACGACACAATAATTCTTTTCTTTGGGACTTTGGTGTCTTGCTGCTGTTATCTCTGTGCAAAGAATTTTTTTGTTATCTTATCTGTTCCTTGAGGTAGTCAGTAAAAGTGTCTTACATTGGATAGTTTCTATTTTATACTATGCTGTAGTCTAAAACTGTATTTACCACACAACTTAAAAAGGATAAATACAGCCCTTCCTTCCTTCCTTCCTTCCTTCCTTCCTTCCTTCCTTCCTTCCTTCCTTCCTTCCTTCCTTCCCTTTAAAAGCACTTTCTCATTTTCTTTTTTGGGTCTCACAGGGCTCCTTCCCTGCTCCACAAAGGGCCATAGAGACCATCAGGCACCAGAACCCTTTTCCGTGGATCATCCTCCTGGAAGGAAATGGAACCATTTCCCCCAAGTTCATATAAACAATATTCATTTTTAAATTCAGTTTTCTGTTGCTGTGCCGGTGCAGCAAACCAGGCACAGGTGATGGTTTCAGTTATGGACAGAAGGCAGGAATTCCTCACGAACAAACACAAGTTCTCCCCATTCAGGAAAAAAGTCTTTCCACACTGTGTGCACGCTCGCTGTCCTCGCACCCAATACAAACTTACACGTAGGAAAATGCACTTTTAGAAATGGGATTCGGACACCCACAGAGAGCAGCCACCAGTACCAGCACCACTGCCCCGGAATCCTGTGCAGGCACCAGAATAAAGCAATATTCCAGCTGGCATTTGCCCTCGGGGGCTGCTCCGGGTGTGGGCTTCATTTTGAGCCCAGCAGCCCCTCCAGACGGGTGCAGGGAGTTATCAGACACCAAAGTGTGCCTGTGACACAGAGCCCTGAGGAGTTATCAGACACCAAAGTGTGCCTGTGACACAGCACAGAGCCCAGGATTTCACACGATTTCCCTCTTAGTCCTCTAAAACGCTTCCACAGCTCTGCCATTTCTCTCTCTCCCGGGTGGGTGAAGCCTCAGGTCACCCCCGGTGCTCCCAGCTGCACAGCTCGGGCCAGGAGAGACCCCTCGCTGTGATTTACTAAAAACCGTCCAAAAACCCCAAACCCCAGACCCCAAACCCCAGACCCCAGACCCCAGACCCCAAACCCCAGACCCCAGACCCCCAAGCCCTGCCCCTGCCGTGCCTTTCGGGGGTCCCTCAGCCCCTGCAGCCCTGGGTGAGCCCCCGGTGCCCCGCTCCCCGGGGCTGCTCGGTGCAGGAATTGCAGCGAGCGCTGCAGTCAGGCTGAGGCGCTGCAGGGTCACGGTCCCGGGGCCGGCACCGGCGCTGCCCGGGATCTCACAGCCCCCGGGCTCCTGCTGGCCCCGCAGAGCCGGGTGGGCCCGGCCGGGATGGCCCCGGGCCACAGCCGGGTCACCAAAGGGCGCAGGAGGCTTTCCCTGAGTCATGGCGGTGTCACGGCTGTGCCTGTGTGCGCGTCCGTGTGTCCATCTGCACCTGTGTCCATCTGTCTGTGTGTCCATCTGTCTGTGTGTCCATCTGCCTGTGTGTCCATATCCGTGCGTCTCTCTGTCCCTGTGTGTCCATCTGTCCCAGTGTCCGTCTGTCCCTGCGTGCCCATCTGTCCTTGTCTGCATCTGTCCCTGTGTGTCCATCTCTCCCTGCATATCCGTCTGTCCCCGTGTGTCCGTCTGTCCCTGTGTGTCCCCGTGTCCATCTGTCCCTGTCCTCGCGTCCATCTGTCCTTGTTCGTTCCCGTGTCCGCCTGTCCCTGTGTGTCCCTGTGTGTTCCCGTGTGTCCGTCTGTCCCTGTTCCCGTGTCCGTCTGTCCCTGTGTGTCCGTCTGTCTCTGTGTGTCCCCGTGTGTCCGTCTGTCCCTGTTCCCGTGTGTCCGTCCCGTCTGTCCCTGTGTGTCCCCGTGTCCGTCTGTCCCTGTGTGTTCCCGTGTGTCCGTCTGTCCCTGTGTATCCCCGTGTCCGTCTGTCCCTCCGTGCGCGCGCCCCTACACCGTGGGGGCGTGGCCGGGGGCGGGCCCTCATGGCCACGCCCTCCCCGAGGGCCCGGCGCGGCTGCTGCCGCTGATTGGCGGCAGCTTGAGGGGGCGTGGCCAAAGCTTTGCCCGTGCCCGGTGCGGTTCTGTCCCTGTGTCTGTCCCCGTCCCTGTCCCCGTCTGTGTCCCGGTCCCGTCCCTGTCCCGGTTGCGGTTCCGGTTCCGGTCCAGCGCGGAGGCGGCCCGGGATGGCGGCAGAGGCGGGCGGCGCGGCGGAGAAGCGGCGGATCATGTGCGTGGGGCTGGTGTGCCTGGACATCATCAGCGTGGTGGAGGCGTTCCCAGCCGAGGACTCGGACACCAGGTACCGGCAGCGGGGCTCCCGCGGTGTCCCCGGGCCGGCCCCGCGCCCAGCGCCGCCTCTCGCCCCGCAGGTGCGTGTCTCAGCGCTGGCAGCGCGGCGGGAACGCCTCCAACTCCTGCACGGTGCTGTCCCTGCTGGGAGCGCCCTGCGCCTTCATGGGCTCGCTGACCCCCGGGCCCGCCGCTGAGTAAGTGGGGTGCGGGGACTCCCGCACCGGCGGGGCACCGGGCCACCCCCCTGGCACTTCACTGGCCGCTCCGCGCCGCTGCCTCCGGCCCCGACCCTCGGCGCGCTGCCCGCCGTTCCCCGCTGCCCGCCCGCCGCCGCCGCCGCTCACGCCGCTCTCTGTCCCCCAAAGCTTCATCGCGGCGGATTTCCAGCGCCGGGGGGTGGACACGGCGCACGTGGCCTGGCAGCCCCGCGGAGCCGTGCCCTGCGCCGTCTGCCTCGTCAACGCCGCCAGCGGCTCCCGCACCATCGTCCTGCACGACACGTAAGGGCCCAGCCCCTGCCCGTGGGCAGCGCTGCGCTCCGCCAGCTCTGTTCCGAGGGTCGCCCCGCTGCCTGCCCGGGGCTACCGGATGGGGCGAGTGGCCGTGATCCCGCAGACATTGTCACCGCCAGTGTCCCTGCAGCCCTGTCACCTCCGGTGCCGCTGCCGGGACTGGGGGTGATCTCCACACGGCCGCTCCGGAGTGCAGGACAGCCGGCACGGCCCCGTGGGGATAACCCTGCTCCCTCAGCCGTGCCAGAGGGTCAGGGGCTGTGGGGCATGGCTGACCCCCAGGGCACAGCGCGGCCACCGCTGCGCTGCCCTTCGAATCCAGCTCAGTGTCCCGGGCGCCACCGTAAATGATTCACCCGGGCAGCGCCTCCCCGGGGACCTCTGTCCCGGTGGCGTGGGGCCCTCCGCGGCCCCTGGAGCTGCCCTTCGCCCCGGGCGCGTGCCAGGCCGAGGGTCCCCATCTCCCCCCTGGCCTCCGTCCCACAGGAACCTGCCTGACGTGACAGCCCGCGACTTCGAGCGGGTCGACCTCTCCCAATACAGGTGGATCCACTTCGAGGTGAGCCCAAGGCTCAGCGGGCTCTAGGGTCTGGGGGACCCCCGGCGCTGGGGAAAATCCCTCGGGCTGTACGTGAGCCTGGGACCGGAGGGAATCCCTCGGTCTGGGGGGCATCCCCAACGGGGGAGCATCCCCGGGGCCGAGGGGCCTCTCGGGACCGGCGGTCCCCCGGTGATGCCGGAGCCGTGCCGTGTCCGCAGGCGCGGAACGCGGCGGAGCAGGGCGCGATGCTGGAGCGGGTGGAGCGGCACAACCGGGCGGCGGCGCCGGGGCAGCGGGTCCGGATCTCGGTGGAGCTGGAGAAGCCGCGGGAGGAGCTGCTGCCGCTGATGGGGCGGGGACACGTGGTGCGGGATCGCCTGTCCCGATCGCCTGTCCCCATGCCTGTCCCCATCACCTGTCCCGATCGCCTGTCCCGGTCACCTGTCCCGATCGCCTGTCCCCATGCCTGTCCCCATCGCCTGTCCCGATCACCGGGCTAGGCCAGAGGCGTGGCGGGGGCTCTGTCGGGACGGGAGCTGTCAGATCTGCGGGGAGCACGGCGCAGCGAGATTTGGGAGTGCTGTTCCGGGGGAGTCCGCCTCGGGGGGTGCAGGGGTGGGGGGTTTGGATCTAGGGGTGCAGACGGGATCTGGGAGTTCAGGCGGGGTCTGGGGACACCGCCAGGGCACAGATCTAACCGCACCTGGCTGGGGGTACCGGGGGCTGCCCCCGCCCCAGCCCCTCTCCCACAGGTGTTCATCAGCAAGGACCTGGCCCGGCACTTCGGGTACCAATCGGCCCCCGAGGCACTGCGGGGGCTGCGGGGGCGCATCCAGCCAGGGTAGGGGTGTACCTGAGAGGGGCCGGGGGGCACACGGTGTGCCCCAGACCCACCCCGCACTCCCCCAGGGCCACGCTGATCTGCGCCTGGGCTGAGGAGGGGGCTGATGCCTTGGGGCCCGACGGGGAGCTGCTGCACTCGGATGCCTTCCCCCCAGAGACCCTCGTGGACACGCTGGGGGCTGGGGACACCTTCAACGCCGCCGTCATCTTTGCGCTCGCAGAAGGTGGGCACAAACGTGGCACGGCCACAGCACGGCCACGGTTCAGTTTGGCACGGCCACGGTTCAGTTTGGCACGGCCACGGCACGGCCACGGTTCAGTTTGGCACGGCCGCGGCACGGCCACATCTCATCCTGGGCCCCCTCCGCAGGGAGGAGCCTGCAGGATGCCCTCACCTTCGGCTGCCAGATCGCGGGCAGGAAATGTGGGATCCAGGGCTTCGATGGCATTGTCTGAGCGTGCGCCTGGAGAGCTCTGCAGCCTCAGGCACAGCACTGCACCCAGCAACACCTCCACATCTCCACCGCACCCAGCCATCCCCAATAAAACCCCGTGTGCACCACTGCTGCCTCCTCTGTCACCTGGCTGTGTCCCCCTTGCCCTGGCTGGGGTCCCACTGCCCTGGGGATGCACTGACCACAGCCAAGTGACCAGCAGTGCCTCTATTTCTCCGTCCGATGAGTTACAGAGGAGACCACTCCACCCCAGCCCTGCTTGGCCCCAGCAGCCTGGCCAGGGGCCATCCCCCTGCCCCTGTGTGCCCTGAGCAGGGCAGGGAGCAGCCGGGGCATTGCATCCCACAGCCCCCACTGCCTACCCCTCCCCATGGTCCCTCCAAGCTGGGGCTGCCTGCTCCTCAGGGGCTTCAGCCTCAGGGGATTCCTCTTCCTCTGTGGCATCAGTACTGGGGGCTTTGGCCCCAGGAACGATTTCTGCTTCCAAGGCCTCAGCATTGGGAGATTCCACCTCGAGAGATTCCATCTTGGGGGCTCCATCCTCAGGGGCTCCATCCTCAGAGGCTCCAGTCTGGGGGTCTCCAGCCTCAGGGGCTCCCTCCTCAGGGGCTCCAGTCTGGGGCTCTCCAGCCTCAGTGGCTGCCTGTCCTGGGCTTTTCAACCCCAGGTCCTGCCTTGGCATCTCCATGCCCTTGCCAGGCACAGCTCCAACCCCTGCCTCCTGCTCTAGTGGGGGCTGTCCTGGGGGACCCTTGTCCTGACCAGACAAGAGCATCTCGGGGGGGTCCAGCAGCTCAGAGGGGTTCAGCAGCCCATCCCCATTCAGGTCCTGCCTTGCCAGAGCTTGATCCACTAGTGCAGCCACCTAGGGGGATGGGGAACAGGATGAGGGCTCAGCCCAGAGGCTCAGTGGGGTACGAGGAGCCACCCCTGTGGGACCCACCATGTCAGGGTCTGGCTGCCCCCCAGCCTGTGCCAGCACCGTGCCAAGTAACTGCAGCAGCTCCAGCCCATCCAGGCGCCTGCTCTGGTCGTGGTCATGGAGCACGAAGAGGTAGAGCAGGGCTGTGGGGCATGGGGCGCTGTGGGGCAGGGCTGCCTGGCCCCACTAGCCCCTCAGCCCCCCATCACGCCCCGGTGGCCTTACCCTGCTCCCGTGTCATGGCCTCCACGTCCTGCTCCGGGGGCCCCAGGCTCCGCACGGCGCTCCACAGCAGCCTGGGGGGAGCAGGGCTGGGGTGGGAAGCACTGCACTGCCCCACGGCAGGCTGGGCACTGTCCGTGCCCCCCGCCCAGCCCTGGCCGTGGTGGGGGTCCCAGTGCTGTGGGGTCCCCAGGGCAGGGACTCACTGCAGTGCAGGTGACTCCGGGCTCAGTGGGTCGGGGTACGGATCCACGACTGCGGCCATGGGGGGCTCAGGCCTGGCCGAGAGACAGGGGATGGTTCCTGTGCCCCTGGGGGGCTGCTCCCCCCTGCCTGACGCCCCCCACCACGGCCCCTGCAGATCCACGGGTCCCAGCCCTCACTGTGCAGCTCGGACCCCTGTGCTCCCCTGCCATGGCCACCTTGCACTGCCCCCGCAGCTGCGCCCCTGGAAACACCACGGCTCTGCCCTCCCTTAACTGTGCCCCCCAGCTCTGCCATCCCTTAACTGTGTCCCCACGGCTCTGCCATCCCTTAACTGTGCCCTCCCAGCTCTGTCTTCCCTTAACTGTGTCCCCACAGCTCTGCCTTCCCTTAACTGTGCCCCCCCAGCTCTGCCCTCCCTTAACTGTGTCCCCACGGCTCTGCCTTCCCTTAACTGTGCCCTCCCAGCTCTGCCTTCCCTTAACTGTGCCCCCCCAGCTCTGCCATCCCTTAACTGTGCCCCCCCAGCACTGTCCCCAGACCTGTGTCCCCGTACCTGTTGGTGCCCGCCCTGGGGGCGGCCCACGCCGCTGGCCCCAGCAGCAGCAGCAGCAGCAGCAGCGGCGGCTTCCTCATCCCGCGACCTCGGGCTGCGGCGGGACGGGAACACCGGGGTCGGGGCTGGCCCTGCCGGGGGTCGGTGCGAGCGCCCGTGGGAACCCGGCGCTGGGAGAGGGGCGGGGGCTCCGGGAGCCGCCCCGGTTCCAGCACGGCGGGGACGCGCTCGCACGGCTGGGAGGGTGCTGGGAACGCGGAGCGCGTGGGACCGGCCGGCGCTGCCCACCCAGCGCAGCCCCCGGTACCACTCACCCCGCACACCAACCCGGTACCGCCGGTGCTCCCCGGTACCCACTCAGCCAGCCCCGTTCGCGTGTCGGTGCCGCCCGCCCCGCCCCGGGGCCACGTAGCCGACACGTCTCGGCCCTGCCACCGCGGCCGGGAACGGCCCCGCCCGGCCCGGCCCGGCCCTGCCCGGCCCGCGGGGAGCAGGGATTCAGCCGCACGCAGGTGCCCCGGGGCAGCGCCGATGTAACCGGGACCCGGCCAGTCCAAACCGGCGTCCGGGATGGGCTCGTGGTCACAGCAGGGACGGGGCCACGCCGGTGTGTGAGACTCCCCGAGCCCCCCACGGTCCCGGGCGGAACCGGGCCAGCCCAGCGTCACCGAGCCCCGGGCCCCGCAGCAGCACGGCCGAGGACCTGGGCCGGCCCGTGCCGGTACACACGGCCCCGGGGCTCTGGGCAGCCAGCCCCCGACCGGCCCGAGGGCACACCCGCCCCGGAGCGCGATGCCCTCAGCCCCAGGCCGCTCCCCCAGCACTCGCGGACAGCACTGCCTTCATGCTCCAGTTTAATGGCAGCAGCAGGGCAGGGGCCAGCAGGACCCCCTTCTCCTGGGGCAGGAGACGGCCCTGTCCCGGGCCAGCCCTGCACTGCTGCCAGCACAGTCCCACAGGGACGGGCCCTGCGGGCTCCCTGGACCCGCGCCTGCTCCCCGAGCGCCAGCGGGGACAGCGGGGCCAGGGCTGGTCCCTCGTGTCCTTCACAGTCTGTGTGGGGTAGGAGGAGGTTGGGGGGTCGCTCCTGGTGCCAGGGGGACCCTCCGGGGGCCAGGGGGCTACAGGAAGCCTGGGAAGGCGAGCTGCAGCAGCAAGATGGTGGCCACGATGAGCCCGGCACAGAGCAGCAGCAGCAGCCAGACAGGGAGGGAGCCTGTGGGACAGGGAGGGGTCAGAGGAGGCTGCAGCCCCCCCTGCAGAGGAGCCGGGCCCCAGGGGCAGCCCCCCGGACGTACGGCGGGTGGGCAGCAGGTGCAGCTTGCAGCGGCTGTCCACGGCCACGCTGAGCAGGGCAGCCTCGTGGCCCCCCAGCAGCTCCCGCCCGGGCCGGCTCTCGGGGACGAAGGCCACGTCTGTCACCACGATGCCATGGGCCTCCTTCACGTAGTACAGCCTCTGGGGGGACACAGGAGGTGAGGGGCTGTGGGGGCCAGCGGGGCTGCCCCAGCCCTGCCCCAGCTCACCTGCAGTGAGAAGGCAATGTGGATGGCCACGGAGCCTGTCACTGTGCCCAGCCCCAGGAAGGTGCCCGAATCACTGTGGGGGGAGGGTAGTGAGCGGGGGCTGCCACGGCCCCCACCCCGTACCCACTGGCCCTGGGCTACCTGATGGAGAGGCAGGAGACCACCTCGGAGCCACAGGGCCGTGTCAGCAGAGGCAGGAAGCTCTTCCCATCCCACTTGGTCAGGTAGCAGGGCGGGGGGCGGCGCTCGCGCTTGTGGGGCACCTGCACGGTGTAGAGCCGCAGAGCCCCGGCGCTGCCCTCCACGGCCCCGAACCTGCCAGGAGAGGGGCACGGGGGGAAAGTGGGGCACGTGGGACGCAGCCCCTCACCGCCACCACTGCCCCAATCCAAACCTGGCCCCAGCCCCCTCCCCGTGCAGCTGCCAGCAGAGCCCTGGAGACAGACCCCTTCCCACAGACCCAGCAGAACAGTGACGGGGCAGGGCAGCAGGCAGGGGTGCCCCATTCCCAGCCCCAGTGGCCCCTCCCCACCCCCAGCCCCACAGCCTAGCCCCATGCCCTGCCCTGTCCCCCAGCCCAGTCCCAGTGCCCCAACCGCAGCCCTCCGATCTGCCCCCAGCTCTGTGTGCAGCCCCCCAGCCCCATCCCCAGCCCCATCCCCAGCCCTCACCGGCAGGCCTGGTAGCGATAGGCCTTGTCAGGGATGCCAGGCAGGTTCTCGTGCCAGCGCAGCCCTGTCACCAGCTGGTCCTGCTGCCACACGCAGCACTGGAAGTCCCTCCCCGCCGTCACCACCTGCTGCACACAGCACAGGGGTCTGAGGCCCCTCTCCTGCAGGGCAGGGAAGTGGGGAGCCCCTGACACCCACCTTGTTGTCAGGGCCCAGTGCGATGTCCTCAATTTCCCCGTCATGGGCTCTGAACTCCAACGTCTTCTTCATGCTGGGGAACTGCAGGGGCAGAGCTGGTGTGGGCACTGGGCAGGGCCAGGCCCTGCCATGGTCCCAGGCAGGTGTGGAGGAGCAGCGTTAGGTGAGCACAGGTGCTGTCAATCCAGCTGTCCCTGCTGCCATCGGCACAGCAATGGCTGCTCCTCCGTGTCTGTCCCAGCTCCCCCTGCCCACCCCTGTCCCTGTGCCCACCCTGCAGGCACAGGGGGCAGGTCCATGACAGTGATGGAGGGGTTCAGGGCAATGCCATTCCCAAGTCACCCCACAGACCCCCCACCACTCCCTGCCCTCCAGCGCCCAGGGCAGGCACAGGGAAGGTCCAGGGTGGGCATGGGAGGTCCACAGCTGTACCCCAGCCCCAAAGCACCCCACAGCCCCTCGCACTCTGGCCATAGAATCTGGGGGTGTGGGGAGCCCCAGGGCAGTGTCCCAGCCCCAAAGCTCACCATGGTACCCAGGGCAAGCACAGAGAAGGGTCAGGATGGGCAGGCAGGGTACAAGGCAGTGCCCCATCTCCAAGCCACCCCCACAGACCCCACATCCTGCCCCATGGCACCCAAGGCAGACAGGGGAGATCCAGGGTGGGCATGGGGCTGTTCACAGAATGCCTTATCTCCACAACACCCTTCATCCCCCCCACAGCATCCAGGGCAGGCGGGAGGGGGATTCAGGGCCATCCCCAAAGCACAGCACAGCCCGGGGGCAAGTGCTGCTGAAGCGGTGTCTCACCGTCCTTCCCGGCGGTGCCCGGAGCCTCGGGCTCCTGCAGGCTGAAGCGCAGGATGTGGCAGCTGTTGTCCTGCCCGGCGGCAATGACGTCCCCGGCCAGCGCCATGGTCATGGTGGCGCGGGTCTCGGTGTCGTGGCAGTGCAGCAGCGAGGCGCTGAGCTGCCCGCCGATCTGCTCCAGCTGCAGGAAGTGCTGCGGGCCGGGGGGCGCGGTCACGGCCCCGCCGCGGGGGCTGCCCGGGACAGCCGGGTCCCTGGGCACCGCACACCCGCAGCCCGCACAGCCAGAGCCGCAGGCCCCGCCGTGTCAGACCCTCCCGAGCCCCTCCGCACCGCAAACCCCTCAGGCCCCGCCGTGTCAGACCCTCCCGGGCCCCTCGGCACCGCAAACCCCTCAGGCCCCGCCGTGTCAGACCCCCCGCCACACCCGGGCCCTTCCCGGACCGCTCAGCCTCCCGCGCCGCTCTCCCCGCAGCCCCGTCCCCGTTCCCCCGCACCACGCCATTGCGGATGCCGGTCTTGGCGGCGCCTCCGCCGCCGGCGGTGATGGCGAGCGGCCGCCGCGGGTGCAGGCGGACGGTGTAGAGCGGGAACGGCGCCCGGTACAGCTCGGCGGGACGCCGGGGCGCCATGACACGGACGTGACGTCAGCGCGCCGTGGCTTCACGCGCTGTTGCATCACGCCCCGTTACCCGCCGGGGGTGTGGCTAACCGGGCGCGGGAGTGCGGGCGGCTCGGGGAGGGGGCGTGGCCGCGAGGTCACGTGGGACAGCGGGGACAGCCCGGTGCTGGGGGACAAGGACCGGGGGATCCCGGGGGGACAGCCCGGTGCTGGGGTACAAGGACGGGGGGATCCCGGGGGGACACGGGGAACAGCCCGGTGCTGGGGGACAAGGACCGGGAGATCCCGGGGGGACACGGGGACAGCCCGGTGCTGGGGGAAACGGCGGCTCCTGGGGGGCAGTACTGACAGCCCGGTGCTGGGGGACAAGGACCGGGGGATCCCAGGGGCAGTACTAGGGGACCCCAATACCTGGGGACACAGCGGTGCTGTGGCTCCATGGGGATCCCAGTGACTGGAAAAAGGGGGCCCCTGTGGGGGACGGTGGGAATGCCCCAGCGTTTGGGGACACGGCAGTCTCGGGTACCCTGTGGGCTCCTGGGGGACACTGCAGACACCCCACTCACCGCCTGGGGTGACGGGGGTCCGGGCAGCAGCAGGGACAGCCCCCTGGGGGGGAGCTGGGGGTCCCGGGGGGCAGCAGGGAGTTCCTTGGGACCCTCCAGGGCCTGTGCTCCAGAACCATTTATTGGGGGAACACCAAACACGAACGGTGGCGGGGGCTGCGGGGCGCTCGGCACCCCGAGGCAGGGCAGCCCCCGGGCCCGGAGCGGTGTGTAAGGCACGTGGCTGGGCCGGGGGTACCGCACAACGTCCCGGCCTGGAGAGGGGGCACCGCTCCCACACCCCCAGCCGTGGTCCCAGAGCCCCCGGGAGGGGCAGCCCGCCGATCTTCGGCACGCCCCGGCTGCCTGAGGATGCCCCGGCAGGGTTTGGATGCCCCGGGCAGGGCCGTGGCCGGGACCCCCGTGCCGGGGCCGTCAGAAGGAGGTTTCCTGCACGGCGTAGATGGGGGCACCAGCGCTGCGGACGTAGCCCTGTCCCTCCTCCCCCTGCTCGGGGCCGGGGGGGGACAGGCCGTTGGGCACCCCATGGCTCTTCTCCGCGGTGCCCGCGTGCCCGGGGGCCTGTGGGGACAGGGAAGGCACAGGGGAGGCAGCAGGGGGGTACCCCCATGTCCCCCTGCCCCCGGGGTGCCGGGAGCCTGTCCCTCACCTGGGCAGGGTCGGCTCCCCCGCAGCAGAGCCAGTGCCGGATTTTGGGGGGCAGGCAGCACAGCAGCCACGGCAGCACGGGGGAGATGGTGCGGGGGTCCAGGGCCGCCGCCGGCGTGGGGCCTGGGGGCACAGGGTGTGAGAGGGGCGGGGGCACCACGGCGGCCCCCGCGCCGCCCCACACTCACCGGTGAGCAGGCTGACCAGGACCCCCACCAGGATGACGGTGGTGGAGTTGTGGGCACTGTACCACATGTAGGACAGGCTGTAGAAGCGCTGCAGCCCCGTGGGGCTGGGGGACACGGCGTCAGGAGGGGGTGCAGAGCACCTCACGCCCTGCACAGCCAGCCCCCGAGCCCCCCGCGCTCACCTCGGGGCGGGTGCTGATGTGGTGGGGGGCAGCAGCGTGGTGGCCAGGACGGTGCTGAGGTTGCCCACGGTGGGGAGTGCTGTGCTGTTGGCGGGGGGCACCCCCTTGGCCCCCGCTGTGCTCTGCAGGAAGCTGCCGATGCCTATCCAGAAGGCCATGGCCAGTCCGGCCAGCAGCCCCACCACGGCTCCCTGTGGCAGGGGACAAAGAAGGGCGCTGGTCCCCGTGCGGACTCAGGGTGCCCCACGGCACCCAGACACCCACTCGGGGCTGGGGGCGCCGGCCGGGTCGGGGACACTCACAGTGGGGTTGGCGCAGGGGAAGAACATGCCGAGGCAGAAGAGCCCCAGGAGCGGGCCCCCCACCATGCCGAAGATGCTGATGGCTGCCTGCGGGGACACGGCCTTCAGCACCAGCCCCGTGCCCTGGGGGGGCCAGAGCCGGGGTCCCCACCCCGTGTGGGGTGCCAGAGCCGGGGTCCCCACCCCGTGTGGGGTGCCCCAACCCCGTGCCTACCTGCAGCACGGGTCCCAGCATGGAGGACACGTACGCCATCCCCAGGCACAGCAGCCCGTAACCGAGAGCTGGGGAGGGCAGCGGGGTGTCATGGCAGTGCTGTGGACCCCCCGCCACGCCAGCCCCGCGGCTGCCCCCGGCCACCCCCCATTAGTCACCCAGCATCTTGGAGAGCAGCGTGGCCCGTGACTCCGACAGCCCGGGGAAGTGCGGCCGCACCAGGTCCTCCATGGTCACCGTGGCCAGCGAGTTGAAGGCGGAGGAGATGGTGCTGGGGAGGAGAGGGAGCAGGAGGGGGCTCGGCCGGGACACCTGAGCCCACCTGAGTCACCGCCCCAGGGCCGCCCACTCACCTGAGGGCGCCGCTGAAGAGGCAGGCGACAAAGAGCCCGGGCAGCCCCGGCAGGTCCTGCAGCACGTCCATCACGAAGAACAGCACCAGCTGTGGCAGGAGGTCAGTGCGGGGCTGGGGGCAGCGGGGGACACGGGAGGGGCTCTTAACCCACCTGGTCAGGGGAGGCAGGGCGCTGGCTGGGCGCCAGCGGGTGCTCCAGGTTGTAGACAAACATGACGAGGCCCGTGAGGCAGCTGAGGCACAGCACGATCTGCTGGCAGGGGAACACGGCGTAGCAGGAGCTGCGGGCGCCGCGGGGCTGTCAGACTCGGGCGGCGGCGGGGGGCTCACAGCAGGTGAGGGGAGCCCAGCCCAGCCCCACTCACAGCTTGGCCTGGCGCTCGCTGCGGGCGCACAGGTAGCGCTGCACCTGCGCCTGGTTCACCCCGTACAGCGACAGCATCATGAACACCCCGCCCACCGACAGCGACCAGAAGGTGTGGCGCTCCAGGGGGTTGGGGTCCAGGCTGCGGGGAGGAGCAGGGGGTCGTGGTGATGGGTCCTCACTGGCCCCCCACGCCCCACGGGAAAGAGGGTACCAGGGATGGCCTGCACCGCCACTCTGGGGTCCCTCTCCCCCAGCCAGGGCTGCCCCAGGTGTCCCCAGAGCAGGATGGGGTCCCGGGAGATGGCTCACTCGATGCCGGCGATCTTGCCCTGCTGCTCAGCCACGCGCCAGACACGGGCCATGCCCCCCACCCGCCAGGCGCCCACCACGATGACGGCGACCTGCCCCGCCAGCATCACCAGCGTCTGGAACACGTCTGTCCAGATGACGGCCTTCAGGCCACCCTGGTGGGGACACGGGACGCCCGTCAGCACACGGTGACAGTGCCCACCTGGCAGGGCAGGGGCACAGGCACCCGCGGCAGCAGGGACTCACCAGCGTAGTGTAGAGTGTGCAGACCAGCCCCATGGTCAGCACGGCGCTCCAGAGGTCAAAGCCCGTCACTGGAAGCGGCAGAGGACATTAACGGGGCGAGGGGCAGCAGCCCCCTGGCACGGCCCCACACCTGAGCTCACCGTACCTGCGTTGAGGGCCAGAGCAGGGGCGTAGAGCACCACCCCCATGTAGATGACCTGTGGGGAGGGAGAGCAGTGCTGAGCCACAGCCAGCCCCCAAAGCCTGCAGCCCCACAGCCCTGGCCCCACTCACCATCTGGAAGATGAAGGTGACGGTGCCTAAGACCCGCACGGTCTTGTTGAAGCGCAGCTCCAGGTACTGCGAGGAGAGAGGTCAGGGCACCTGACTGCAGGGTGCTTTGTGCTCCTCACAGCCCCCTCCCGTGTCCCCCTGCCCTCCCGTGTCCCCCTGCCCTCCCATGTCCCCTCTGCCCTCCCCATGTCCCCCTGCCCTCCCCGTGTCCCCTCTGCCCTCCCCGTGTCCCCGTGCTCACCTCGTAGGTGCTGGTGATGCGCAGCCGGTAGAAGACAGGGATGAAGATGTGCGCGGGGATGAGCAGCCCCAGGAAATAGGAGCAGCCGAGGAACCAGTACTCGGTGCCAAAGCGAAAGATCTCAGCCGGCACGCCCAGGATGGCCACAGCTGACTGGAAGGAGGCCAGCAGAGACAGGGCCACGGGCAGGCAGCCCATGTCACGGTTGGCCAGCAGGAACTCCTGCACCGTGCGCTGCCGGTCGCCGCTCAGGGCGTAGAAGAGCCCGATGGCCGAGGAGAGCACCAGCAGCAGGGCGAAGATGCTGTAGTCGATGGCCGTGAACTCCATGCCGAGCGTGTCTCCGCGCCGCCCCGCCGCTGCCCCGCCGCCCCGCCGGCCTCATGGGCGCACCTGAGCCCGGCAGCGCGTCCCGACAGCACCGGCCCGGCCCCGGCGGCTGCGGAGGGACGTGTCAGTGCTGCGGGGACCTTCGCTCGCTCTGCCTCAGCCTCAAGGACCCGGAGCGCGGAGAACGGCGGTCCCTCCTCCTCCTCCTCCTCCTCCCCCCTCTGGGCCGGGCTTGTCCCCCCCGGGCCACCCCACCTGCCCCGCTGAAGGAAGCTGGAGAGTCTTCAAAGAGCACCAAGACAATGGCTGCAAAAACAGTCCCACCCGGGCCCCCCGCAGCACCGGCACCGCCAGGCCCGGCAGAACAGGCCAAGCTCAACAGAGCCGCCTCCGGTGCAGGACAGCCCCGTCCCACCTGCGCCAAACCCAACACGACCACTCCCGGAGCTGAGCCCGCAGTGCCACTCCCACCCGAGCCAAACCCGGGCTGGCCCAGCCACCCCAGCACGGCACAGCCCCACCAAACCCGGCAGCACCGGTCCCACCAGCACCAGAACCAGCCCAGCCCAACCGCCCCAGCAGCCCTGGGCCCTGTCAGAGCTGCCCCCAGCACAGAGGAACGGGCAGGGGGCAGCCTGGGGAGTGGGCATCAGCCAGGTGGAGCGGACACCTGAGCATCCACCGGCCCTGGCACCCTGACCCCGCTGACAGGGATCCCCCAGAGCCTCCTGTGCTCTGCCCCTGCCCTGGCTCCTGGGGGACAGGAGGGGACAGCCGGGCACAGTGCTGCCCCTGCCTGCCCCCACTTC